CAAAAGATGGCACTGAGAATTTGGAAAATTATTTCAGGAGCGATGTAAAGGTCAGAGGTGGAATACACATTATACAGCGGATCATCGTGAAGAATCATTTACAACTTGTTTATTTTAATTGAATCAGTAGATTGTAAATAGGCTGTCACACACACACACACACACACACACACACACACACACACATATATATATATATATATATATATATATATATCAGGCATATATTACTAAAAACAACAGACATTTTGTGTTGAGTGATTTCACTGATCAACTTTTCCAAATCAAGAACAATCCTTCTCAGACAATAAGGAAATTCCGTCAGAAATTATTTGGAATTCGTTTCGGACGAAAAATACAAGAAATATGGTCGAAGCTTTCGACTTTCATAAGTCATCATCAGGGTAGGTAGAGACAATGGTGAGTTTCGTAGAAATGGTGAGTGTTGTGACGTAGACCATGGGTTTTTTGGGGCATAAACGAGGTGTGACGTATGTTTGTTTTTTGTTTTGTTTTGTTTTTTTTTTATCTAAAACCCCTTGTTTCAACTTCTTTAAGATTTTTAAAGAACAAATTCGTCACGAGTGGACGTAATAAAAGAAAAGGCAAATTAAAGAATGCAAAAACTCTTGGCAAACATCTTTACCGCGTATTCCTGACGGATTACAATCTCAGTTTATTATTCAAATTGGCTATCAAAAAAAAAAAAAAAAAATGAACGAAAAACGCAGGGACTGTCTAAAGGTAATCGTCGTTTTTATATCGCATCTTCTCGTCAACTGTGCACAGATTTCTGTTGCTTCCTATCACGTGACTCTGATCTTCCCGCCGGCGCGCTACGCAGAGAACAATTCCCTCGTGAGTTCGAACTCTCAGCACTCATATCAAGCACACTACAAAAGGTGAGTAAATAATAATGCCGACTCAATCCATGTGCCTTGTTTTTCTTGCTGTATCAGCCTCCAACCGAAGTGTTATATATATATATATATATATATATATATATATATATATATATATATATATATATATATATATATATATATATATTAAATAATATTTAAATATAAAAAAAATTTGTAACCTAATAATATACATACTTATACTTGAAGTGAAAATAATTATACATACTGTAAGGGATTCTAATACATTTAATTGTTCTTAAAAGAAATATACTATATTAAAAATTAAAAATTAGAAGTAAAAATATTTCAAATCGTAGTTAAATAAAACGTATTCTAACCTAAACACCCACCAAAAATCTTTAAATATAAAAAATAGGAAAAAATGCCGTAAGAATTTTTGCCGTTAACAATAAAAATTTTAAAAAAATCCAGACGACATGCATTTAACGGATGTTAGATTTCATTGAAAAATACATCCCTACCCCCTACCAAAACATAACTAATAACTGATACATCAAAATACAGACGTAATGAACACGCAAACACCCCTTGTCTGGGTGAAAGTGGATTTCTCTGTAACCTTGGAAACATGAATTATGATTTTAGCTGTGTCTTTAAAACCCAGTAATTTTAAAAGTTACTCCAAAATTCGCTTGAGGATGAAATGGAACTAATGTCTTTAATTTAATTACAAAATAAAATTCTGAGCTTTTAGCTTCCATTTTTGAAACATGGTTAAAACTGTGTAGCGAAAAAAAACATATTTTAAATCAATTAATTTATTATATATATATATATATATATATATATATATATATATATGAAATTAACAAAATTGTATATATAAACAACCGCGGTCTGTATAGGGATGACGGTCTGATGAGAGCGTCAGACAGCAGAAGAAAAAATGGCAATATGAGAAAAGCGCTTTTCAAACTCTTTGAAATAGAAGTCGAAATGAATAAAAAAAGTTGTTAACAATCTGGACGTAGAATTAAATCTGCAAGCTGGCAGTGTCTCCCCATACATGAAACCCAACGCAAAATTAAAATACGTTGATATTAGATCTAATCTCGCACATCTCGCTTGTGGAACACTCTTCCTTATTCCAGTTTCCCTGATAGCTATAATCCCCAACTATTCAAATGTAATGTCAATCGACATCTCCAGTTGCCTTGATCTATCCACTATCCTCCTCATCATCCTTTCCTCTATCATTCCTACCTGCTCTCTCGCCAAATCCTCTATAACCCCTTGCGTGCTAGTAGTTTCCCGCCTTGCTAGGGGTGAAATGCTTAAAAAAAAAATAAAAAAAAAAAACACCACGGGAACATAATAAAACACCTCCATAAAGGAATTAGTCTAGGTTATCCAGAAACGCTTCTAGTAAAATAATTTTTGAGGATAAAAAAAATATGAGAAGAACTTAAGTGTAGAGGATCATAAAACTAAATTAGAATTTAAACCTCAAATTAAACAACATGTGAAGAACAATTCGAGTTAAAGAAAAAATATCATTTGGTTTTACCTCACTTTTAACTTAGAAGTAAAATGTAAAATAGGGAAATTATTTTTAGAGGTAAAATGTAAATAAGGAAATTATTTTTCAAATTAGTTACTGAACACTGCCCCAGAAATTCAGAATTACATAAGATATTCAACAAAAACACAGTTAAATTAAGCTAAAGCTTCACTAGTAATTTAGAAACAATAATAAATCGACAAAACGCCAGGAATTTAAAAAATAATGCCCAGTAAAATATAGTTAACACTAGTAATTTATGCAGCTGTAGAAATAAAAATTAGATGGAGCTGGTAAAACCAAAGCAATAATCTATAAAGCAGAAGTAACAGATATTGATGACCAAAATAAAACGTACATAGGATGTACTGAAGGTACTTTCAAACAAAGATGGTACAATCATAGGTCGTGATTCAAGCTAGTAAGTCTTAGGTGCTTTACCAAACTAGCTAACCATGCGTGGGATTAAAAAAAAACTGCTTGGATCCGATTGTAAGCTGGAAAAAATTTTAACAAGGCGAAGACTTATAACAACCACAAAAATAGTTGCAACCTTTACCAATAGGAAAAATTAGCAATAATGATATTTCCGGATCCAAAGAACCTTTTGAACCAGTCATCAGATGTCATGAGTCCTTTCATGCATAGTAAACAAATCCTTTTAAGCACATATGAGGTTGGATAAAAAAAATATACATTTCAATTAACTCCCACCGATACATTTATAATACTCTTGCTTTTCTTCTTCTTCTTCTTCTTCTTCTTCTTCTTCTTCTTCTTCTTCTTCTTCGCATCCACTTCCTGTCTTTCTATCACACTCAACGTCATCCGTTTGTTTATGTATTTTTTAAAAATATAATTTTTTCGTAAAAAAATAAAGTGTCGTCGGGGGGGCATTTGATAAAAATTGCCTGAGGATAGGGTAAAGTTGAAACCAAGGTAGCGGATTCAAGTTACATATATATATATATATATATATATATATATATATATATATATATATATATATATAATAATGAAAAAGTATGTATACTTTCTTAATATGTATATATAGAAAAAGTTTCAAATTGAAAATTATAATGTTTTATTTTATGAAAGTATTTATTTATTTATATATATATTTGATATTTTAAATTGTCCTCAATTTTTCATCAGAAATAACTGTTTGTTACAAATAAATTAAAATTGCTGTTTGTTAGCAAGTAGCGTCCTTCGCGAGACGCGGACGTCACGTGATATGGAACGTCACTGTTCGGATATTCCTAACTTAAATGTAACTGTCATAAATATTTAAAACAATTTTTTACTATATCTAAAAAAAAAAAAAAATTGCTTAACTATTGAAATATTTATAAAGATTTAAAACACTTAAGTCCCTATTCAACCCTAGTTTATGTGTATTTAATTTTAAAATCCAATATGTTTCTTTTTTTCTGCGTGTGAATGTGGAAGTAAAATCGGAATCTATTAATAAACATTTGCAGTTTTCTAATGTGTGTCCTGATTGATTGTAGTGTTTAGCTATGGGGGAATAAGGGTTGTTTTGACGTATTGTATGTGTGTGTTAAAGTGGATGAGGGAGACAGTCTTTCATGCTTCAAGGTAATCTTCAGGCTAAATTTTCATGGCCTGAAGATTGCATTCAAACATGAAATAGACTGTCGCGCTTCAGTGTCAAATACGCATTATCCCCGAAATTGAGCACTTTTACCTATAAATATACCATACCTTATATATATATATATATATATATATATATATATATATATATATATATATCACTCCTCTATCGCTACTACCATGGAAAGTGCTCGGACGAACTGTATTCCTTCACAGCCATGTCCCGACATGCCACTCACAATATAACAAACAGCCCTCGTTCCCTCCGTATTCCTGTTCCACTCGAACAGCTTCTTCCCGGGAACGTCAGCCCTGTGGAACTGACTTCCATGAGAATGTTTCACCGATCACTACAATCTTAACCTGTTCAAGTCTAGGGTTAACACTAACAGTCATCATCTCTTCTTGTCTGTCTCAACTGTAATCCCCCGAATCGAGTAGTGGAACCCAAGCCTTGTACAGGGGGAACCTCACTGTGATATATTGCTTTAAAAACATTCAATTTAATATTACATAATGAAAAATAAAAAAGGAAAACAAACAGTTTCACTCCCGCTCTCTCAGGTTCTTCAATTAATCAGGGGTGTGCAAAGTAAAATATAACAAACTTAAAATTGTAAATGATTGGTGAGAGGAGAAAAAAAAACAGAGGTAGGGATACTAGAAATTAATCATAGCAAGACCCACCAAACAATCACGCTGTTTACACGGTATTTTTTTTTTTAACAAATAGTAAATAATAATAAATGATAATGTAAGGTTAAAAATAAAATGCTTTAATTTTTAAGAAATATAACAGTCTCAAAAATAGTTTAGATTACAGAAAGTTTTCGGTCTGTTGGAAGAGATATTTCTTTTTGTTTTCATTTTGTTATTGCATTATGTCCGTTATTTTCTTGACTATAAAGTTAAGATATTTAGAGCAACAAATGACAAGGAGTTGAGAGCCATGATCACTCACGTTCTGAAAGGGCATGAGACGTAGAAGAAGAACAAGAAGAAGTAGAAGAGGAAAGGAAGAAGAAAAAACAGAAAGGAAAAAGAAAAAGAAGAAAGGAAGAAGAAGAAGAAAAAGAAGTAGAAGAAAGAAGAAAATGAACAAGAAGAGGGAAAAGAGAGGAAAAAGTAGAAGAAAAGAAGAAAGAAGAAAATGAACAAGAAGAGGAAAAAGAGAAGAAAAAGAAGTAGAAGAAAAGAAGAAGAAAAAGAAGTAGAAGAGGAAAGGAAGAAGAAAAAACAGAAAGGAAAAAGAAAAAGAAGAAAGGAAGAACAACAACAAAAAGAAGTAGAAGAAAGAAGAAAACGAACAAGAAGAGGGAAAGAGAAGAAAAAGGAGTAGAAGAAAAGAAGAAGAAGAAGAAAAAGAAGTAGAAGAAAGAAGAAAATGAACAAGAAGAGGGAAAAGAGAAGAAAAAGAAGTAGAAGAAAAGAAGAAGAAAAAGAAGTAGAAGAAAAAAGGAAAAGAAAAAGAAGTACTCATTAATTTGCACATAAAAGATCATCAGCAAATAATTCGATCGCTCTATTAAATTAACAAATATAATGATTAATGATGTTTTTTTTTTTATTGTTGTTGTTTTTTAGTTTGTTTTTTTTTTCAAAGTTATTTAATTCGGACATTTCTGGGTTATGTTACCGGGAGTAATAAATGATTTTGTTTGTTCTTTCTTTCTTTTTTTCTCGTCAATTTTTAGCCAACGGTCGGCTGACTCATCTCCAGCCCGGAAGCAAAGTAAACGTTACTTGGCTGCAATTTTCCCCCCTTAAGGTAAGTCATTATAGACCATAAATAAGTGTCATTTTACGACAAAACAACAATCATTTCATGACGAACATATTTCCATATTTAATGTACAAATGCTTTTTGTTTCTTTTCATTCCTGTTAGGTTTTTAGTTTATATTTTATTACTTTAAATTCCATATTTGATGCACAAACTAAAATAAGACATTTAACGGAAATCAGAGATAGTCTCCCTGGACTTGAGCAGTTATTTCTTTCTGTTCATAATCTATTTTATTACATTAAGCAATATAACTTTATGCAAATTATCGGTTATGCAACCTGATCTCACCTTTTTATTAATGAGATATTCCGTTGTTATTGTAACAACGGAATATCTCATTAGTAGTTAGGGAAGACCAGGCTGCTTTTTTTATTTCTTTCGCTTCGTGTTAACTTCCTTTATGTCATTTTTACTTTTAATCCATATCCTTCTAATGTCAATTTAAATTACCTCCTTCTTTTTTTCTAAATGTATTTTAACGACAATTATAAATTATAGTTTTGGAAAGGGATTTTTTTTCACAGTCAAAATTGCTTGGGGTGGAATGCTTAAAAATATATTTCGGTGAAATTTTCATTTTTACGAAATTATATAGATTATAATTTAGATATACAAAAAAAAGTTGTCAGTTTAAACTGACGCCAGGAGCATATGGGTTTGGCGTGAATTTAAATTATGATTCTTCGCGAATATTGTTATAATGTGAGGATTGTATGTGAAGATTGTCATTAGCAAATCATTCTTTTCTTTTCTTTTCTTTCTAAATTGTCCTTATGCCACAGTGATATATTTTTTATACTGAATAAATATCTCTGGAAAATCTCAAAATAAATTTTATCGAATGCAATCTTAATATACATTCAATTAAATGCCAGCCGTGTTTCTCTCTGTCAGACAGTTTATCAAATTGACCTGCGAGATGACAGCGACAAAACTGTGGCCAGATTGAAACACGAAGACCTCAATAACAGCAGGCAAAATTCGTAAGTACATTTCTGTTGTAGAGTGAACGCAAAGTTTGTTTTTTTTTCCGTATGAATCCAAAATACGTTCGTCGCCAAGAGTTGTATATGGCGAAACGAATTTTTTTTTTCTTTCTTTTTTTTTTTTTTTTCGTATGAATTTCGAATTCTGGTCGCCAATGGGTTGTTATAGAGTGAACGAAAACTTTTTCTTTTCCCGTATGAATTACGAATTCCTCGTCGTCAATGTGTTGTAGAGTAGTTTTCACAGTGGAGGCTTGTATTTCAATAAGTCGTCCTAAATTAGGTTCGACGTACAAAACGTTAGGAACTTGCAATAATTAGTTAATGACGCAGCAATCTAGTTGTGATGGTTGATACTTCAATGTCCGATATCGACTGACTCAACTGGCCACTGCTACTACTACTTATTATCTGTGGGAGAGTCTATTACAATAGAATAGGTAATGTTCTGGTATAACAATTTCACCATTTTTTTTTTCTTGATAGAGTCATCTCAATTGCATCCATTATGGTAAAGTCAATGAACATTGTATTTATTAGGCTTCTACCGTTCTATGAAAAATCAACCCCACACGACCCGGTTTGGCTTTCGCTCTGGTAAGGAGTGCTATCCTGGTATATATGCTATCAAAAAACTCTAGGAAATTGCTTACCGCACCAAAAGAAAATTGCATACCTGCTAGCTAGGCCTCACAGCAGCATACGATCATATCAACAGATTTCTTCTCAGCCATTAGAAACCGCCTTCGAAGCTATGAATCCATTTAATTTCTAGATTTAATAGAACTATATCAGCCCACAAAGTCATACATGTCGGGTGAGGACCCCAAAACCGGAACATTTCAAATTTCATCTGGAGTTCAAGGAGGAAATGAGATCCCCAATCTATTTAACCTCTTCCTAGACTACACTCTACGCATATACAAGCACAGATATGAAGAGATGGGCACCGATCGCTTAAACCTCCCATACCGTATTCCAAATTAATCTACGAATAGAAATTACTTGTTTTCCCCTCCCAGAAGCTGATATATAGAGGGAGGGTATAATGGTGCTGATGACATAGGCATTCACAGTTGGAACAAGAAGGATCTTGAACCAAAAATCAGCCTCCTATACCAATTATTCTGAGAGGTAGGTGTCAAAACTTTCCAAAATGAAACAATGATCTAGTATTGTAATTTAGTATAGCAGATAAGAAAATTGTTATGGGATCTTACCCATAATAATAATAATGGACTATTCCATACTTAATAAATACTGCGCCTCAGGAGTAAGCAAGAGTCAGTAGTTCAAGTCGAGTCAAGAGTCGAGTCAGAGGCAGTCCGAAACAGAGTCACGTTCAGACGATTACTGCAAGACATTGGAATATTGATACGGGTCGAGACTACATTGTTCTCTCTACTGATTGTTCATACTAACACTTCTACTTCTCTGTATATATTCCTGTTTGTAATATATCTGTGTTATTCCATACCTGTGTTCGAGTTCTTTATTGGTTCTACCTTGGACTATCACCGTGGTACAAGGAATCGGACCATAACAGAAATTAAACATAGAATAAACTGTGTTAGGGGTAGTTCCACCCAACATCGCAAGTTGCTACAAAGCCAAAACATTAACCCGAAAACTCCAGTAATGTTCTTAAATAGTCTTGTCAGATCGAGAATTTCGTATGGATGCAATGCATGGCGACAGACTCTTCAGAAATATCTAAATTGTTCGTCATATACAACCGCTTTCTCATATTAACGGTTAAAAATGGCTTCTGGCAAGTGAAGCTTGTCGGCATCAGCGAGAACCATCCTGCCTCGAACCTCGTGGACTGACGCTACAGAATCCCAAACAAAGAACTGTATTAGATAACAGAAACATCACTTGGGCGCATTCACCATTAATAACAACTAAAATCAGTAGCACATATAACTGAAAGAGATAATAATGACATAAGCAACATGTTGACATTCCACACGACCGCAAACAAAAGGTAAGGAAGGAAACCCCCATCAGTGCAGGAAAAGATCATTAATAACTACTGGACTTGAGAAAACCGTTTTTCTGAATCATTCATTTAAGAGAAAGATTTAATAAATTTAAATGCTGAGCAGCATTGGCTGCTCGGTCAATGAATGCTAAAATTTTCCTTATAAGGAAACCACTAATATTGCTATTACAATTACTATTTTAATTTTATACGCTTACCCTTATTAGTGTTACTGTTACTGCTGTTGTTACCTTTTTTTAATAATTTCGCCCCAAGCCAGGCAATAAAACCACTAAATAAATGACTCTTCACTTGCAGAACTTTCTTCGGGCCTTTTTCTTTCCAGATAACTTTGATCTTCAAAAATTTAAATGCAAAAGCAATCGTTATCGTCTTTCTTCTTAATTCCTGTTATTTTATTATTTTCTTTTATTAATGACGTTTTCTTTACTCATATTCTCCCACACTCAGTAACCCATTGCGTCTTAGGGATTTTATTGCCTTGCTTGGGGTAAAATGATTTAAAAAGATATACCATTTTAAAACAAAATGATACAAGACGAATGTAAATGCACATGTTGAACTTTTATTAAATATTTATTCCACAGAAAGACTTTTATTATACTTATATAATAAGAGTCTTTCTGTAGAAAAACGTTCGCCTTTCGTTAACAGAGTCCGTGTTCAAATGTCTACATTTTAACAAAAAAATATATCCTACTTACTGACCCACTAGAGAGAATTGTTTTTCTGTTAGGACTGGGACTTAACGCAAAGGCGAAGAAAATAACTTCTTTTGAAAACATACTGTTACTATGTATATCTACTACAGCCAATTGTGTCTATGTCTCCTGCTGTCATTGCAGCTTAAACTCACGACAGCATCTTCATGATAAATATCTCTCATTAACATGAACGGCGTTTTCCCGAGCAAATAAAAATTAATCAATACTTGTTGTTCATATGTATAATGTAACAACTATTTACATAGTGTGTGCATGTTATTAAGTACTGGCTTAAATATTGCACTCCGTACGGACTTATAAGCTAGATCCTGGGGAGGGCTAATTGAGGCCCCGGCCCAAAATTAGAGGGACCTAAGGTCGAGCTTAAAAACAGCAATGATAATTTTGAAGGAATAACTTTGAATTCCTCAATTCATTTCATGGAACTTTAAAACTTCACTTTAAATCTGATTGGGTCGGATTCTTTTACATTTTAAAGAAATAAAATTGATTTCCTCAATTTACAAAGTTTTGAAGACATTTTAAACTGAATTTAAAACACGTGTTCATTGGTGCATATATCTTTTGTATTATTAACGATTCAAGAAAACAACGAAACTCCAAATGTGAATAATCAACAAGTATATATTGAAATAACATACAAGAAACAAATATACAATAATCTGTATTCAATGTATAGATTAAGGGAAAAGAAGTTGCTTTCCTTTTACCGTATTTTGATTTGTAATTGATTGTTCGAAAGAAAGTTCTCTTTAGAGAGAAATGTTCAGGAATCAATGTTAGAAGAAGTCTGCCGTTAGAATAGATAACACAAGAATACAATTGATCAGAAAGTGTGTTGTGTTAGAGAAATCAACAGAGTCCTGGTTGATTGAACTTGTCTGAGTCACAGAGAGATATGTATACATGTATTACAAAATTCTGTGTGTGCGTTTGAAATGTTGTGAGTAAAGTCATAGGTTTGTGTTGACAGGCGAAATTTAGTGGACTCTACTGACGGC